TAATAATACTTCCCGCATTGATGTGGATTGGAACAGCTGGTATGATTGACCTACATTTTTTGTGATCTGTTCTACATTACTGATCTCCTATTCCGAATGCTAGTTTGCTCCGTTCTAGCTGTATATATCGAAGCCACTCTTGGAACCGGTGTTCTAACTGAATCTCAACTAAAACCGTTTATCACTGGAACATTATCCTTGACTCTCGCAATGAATATCATTACCACAGGTACATCAATCAATTCATTCTCTGTATTCGATAGATGAAGGGGACATTCATTCAGGATTAATCATCCACCGTATCTTGCTCATCCAGTCTAATACGGTAGGAAGACTAACCCGCACAAGTGGCATAAGCCCGCCCTCAAGAGTTGTTAAAGTCTTGATAGAGTGTGGTGCGATATATACTGTATCAGTTTTAATTTTGTTCGGATGCTACCTATCCTCGAATAATGCTCAACTTGGTGTATCAGACTCCGTAAGTGCCTTTATTGAAATAAACATAACAGTCACAACTCATGTAATCGTTCCCTGTCAGATCGTTCAAATAATTGTTCGTCACTATGTTGTATCATTCCTTCTTTCCTTGGAACTAAACAATTTTCAGGGAATTACATTTAACCTTATCATTCTGAACGTTGGCCGAGGAACAGCCACAACTTCACAACCCGTAACAACGAATACCTTCATCAGTTCAGATCAATGGAGTTCTGAGCATCGAGCTTCGCGGGCAACTGGCCTCCATCATGTTAATATTACGAGGGTTACAAACGTAACAAGGGATGGACTAGAGGAAGATAAAAACATACAACTAAATCATTTATCCATTGAACCCGAGAGTAATCTTAAACCCGCTCCGCAGTGGTCCGTAACGGCGGTTTGAACATAGAACCAAGTGCAACAGCTTTGTAGAATGACTTTTAATAACCATACACAATTGATTCACCTAGTTGAAATTTATTTAGTTTTCAAACCTCAATTGAAGCTTTATTTGACGCTGGCGGCGAAATGCATTCGTCCCTCAACCGTCCCAACCACATTGCCGCCCTTGCGGCCTATATCAATGCCACCGGGCGCCTCCGCAAAGACCTTCGGCACCATACCTCTTCGGACCCTCCTGACGATGAAGACCACCCCTGATCCCCCATGCCGACCCCCTCCCGACCTCGTAGCATAGGTCCTCGTTTCTTAGTGTAGCCCCTGCCAGTCCTATACGGCTTTTCGAGCCACTCTCTCATACTCTCTTGGTGTCGTCTCTTGGCGGCATCCCGAGTTCGACACACGCTCCTGCTTCCATCTCATCACTCAAAGTAGCTTAGCTTTCCTTACTCACCCTACGATCATTTTCTCTTATTACAGTAGCATCAGCATTATGAAATTTTAGTCTCCGGGTCTTCTATCATTTTCATGGGTTTCTATGTCTCAAGAAAGCACGAGACTCAGAAACTATGAAACTCTTACTAAATAAAAATTTTCAAATGAAAATTATTATATTTAATAACTAGCTTTTTCCTGGAACATACAGATAAAATTGCCTATAAAATCACACCTCCGTCATAGCATTTTTCTGGGACATAACATTGTTTGCTATCTACCACGTAGGATTTGCACATATACTAACATATGTAATTGCATGCATCATTGGAACAGACTGATGAACAGATGGGATAGATCGGTATCGTGGAGTCTTCGACACCATCTTAAGAACTCGATGGTCCATGTGTGAATTTTTACACTTCTTCTCCGGAATTCGGTGAATGGTATTTAGTATGAGGTCATTTACAAGTTACCAGTCATTCATCTGTAGCTCTGCATTTTATTTTATTCTACTTGTGTGTCTATGGTGGTACAGTGACTCAAGCTATCGCGGCGCTCAAGACAATCAAGTGGTTATATCAGAACAACCCAATAAAGAATCATTTATATGGTATATTTTGTGGAAAAGGTCTGCGAGTCATCAACGAATCATGCCACTCACTAATGTAATAGCTAGTATGAGAGTCCCAATATGCATCCCGAGGACAATTTATATTGAGTTTCAACCCTTCATCTACACAAGACTGCAACCTGTTAGAAATCTCCTGCAAGATAGATGTACTTTGTCTGGGTCCAGTGAAAAATGAGACACTATGCAAGCGTTCAGTGGACACTGACTTTTGCTCATTTCCGGAGCCTTTCCAGCATGATTGAACCATAGCAGCAAAAGCATCAGATATCAGCATGTATGTATCCATGTATATGCCATTGACATGTGTCCAGATGCTGTGTTCAACGTACTTGTCAGGCACATCAACACAATCTACTTTAAGAGAGTGCTGAGGTCGATACACAAACTATCAACTTAAGAGAAAAAGGAAGGAAAGAGGAGTGAGGAGTAGAGACCTTTGTATTGGCAGTAAGAAACAACCAGCTAAAGACTACAGAATGAGAACGTAAACTACTACTATATATACTAGAAGGCCATGCACATAAGGTGCAACTAAGTCATGTTCAAGAATGAGGGAAACATGTGTAAGTAATGTATCTACTGTGCACTGCGGCTGCATACTGCAGACATGTGTTACAAGCATGTATCTAATAAGAGATCGAAATGAAATAAGTACTACTACTGTGTGTTATCCTCATGTCATAACATGAGCTGTCTTGTTTGTCTTTGTCATCGAATTTATAGAAACTGTTCCAGTAATTAGAAAAGAAAAAGAAAAGAATAATCAAAATAAACGGTTCATGACAGTACTCGACAAGAAGTATCTGAAGGTGAGGGATTAATGGTTCATTTCCATTCTTATCATCTTCTGGTATGGTCAGCTCTTTGAATAGAAACTGGTGATCAATGGAGATTTTTAGCTCTAACTCGATGAGATTGGGAGTTGAGCAAAGGAGAGTTAACATGTCTTCTTCGGAGATCATGAGTTTGTCGAGCAGAACCAGTCATTGGAGGTTATGAAATTGAGGGAGAAGAGCTTCTATGCATGATATTGGGGCTCCATCTTGGAAGGAGAGGAATAAGGCCATGAGAGCGGGAAACTCAATATTCTTGAATACGTCCGCAGAGGAGGAACTGACAATCAGTAGACTATGTAGATGCTCGAGGATATACAATTCCCGGAGCTCATCTGCATCATCTTCAGTTCCATCTTTGTCATCATCTTCACTTTCATCTTCTTTGTCATCATCTTCAACATCTATGAGAGAAAATGATCCACAACAAAGGTTAGGACATTTATGAACAAGCCTGTTAACTTCCAAAGGGGAACACAATGTAACGCAGAGATTGGTTAACATCTCCCAGGGTAGGTGGAGAACTGGAGCACTTTTGTTAGCAAGGTGCAACACCAAGTGGCGAAGGCAAGGTGCATGTTCAAATATCCTCAAGTGCTCTTCGCCTTCATACATGGGGAAGTTCTCGTCCTCGTCTGCTGAAAGATTTGAGAGTGTGAGGGATTTGAGCGCATCACATGTCATCAGCATCTTCTGCTTCTCATCACTATTGATATAGAGGTTGTTGAGCATAGCAATAGGACCTGGAAGCACACTGCTCTCAAGCTGAAGATTCCTGAACCGCAGAAGATAGAGAAGTAGCATCTTTCTTCATGATGCATTTAATTAACCAGTCATATTGTGTTTTGCCCTTAAACATGAACGATGCATATGGTATGTATAGATGAAAGCTCAGTGGAAGGTTCTTTGCACGCAAAAACCATAGTTGACAGAGCTTGATAGTGTGTCACCCTATACGTAGGACCCTAGGTGTTGTCCAGAGGGATGGGGTTTCCACAGAGAGAGAGCGCCACAACAAACATATACACATCAGTAGCAAAGGCGCGCTTTTTGAAATATTTAGGTCCACACTGTTGATGGAGAGTCTATGAGGGAGACAGTGAAGAAAGACTTTGACTAGTATATCATGGGGTAACACTTTAATTGGAGAAAGAACTGTTTCAATTGATTTGAGTAGATTCCGTTTTTTCTGTCAATGGTCTGAACCATCAACTGCATTATTACCAAGTTTGTCTTTCAGCTGGCTCTGTATCTCAATGAGGATGCTCCTCTGTGCATCAGATGGAGGGAGATTGCTATTGCAAAGATCGTCAAATTTGGGGCTTTCCAACCATTCAGATATCTGATTATAAGAGTTGAGATATACTAAGAAGTATGAATTCTCAGAGGATCTTACCTTCAGGTTTGACACTATGGGTTAAGTACTGTCAGGAGGACGAAACAATTCAACATCAAAAAAAAACTTATCTGAGACTCATGGCCCGCCGCCCCGGAATCTGGACCAGCTGGACCCATCACCCCCCAATTTAATGGACAATGCTGTCTGACACCATAAAGCAATAATCATCTATAGCTTAAATTTGTGGGACTATAGCGACTACATAAAATAAATACCACTTGTAGCCTAGCTTTTTCCTCTTCATGTCTCACAGAGTTTTCTTTTGACTGAAGACTTGAACTTCTCACCTCAATGGCCGTTTTCTGCACTTCACCATCCCTCCCATCATCCTAATTTTTACCCTGCATCATGCTCCTTACATGTTGGAGAATAATCTGGCACTTACTAGAATATTAGTAATCGACTTAGTAAGACACTATAGATAATTGTAGTATATTCTAGATACATTAGCTAGAGGTATATAAACTGTAGATACAGTAGAGTACACCTCATGGATTTGTAACCCAATAGCCTAACAGCTCGTACCTACTGCATATTTCTACAACACTACACAGGTGAAAAGAACCATCCAGTACCAAACTATCAGATTAATCTTCCTTTGCTCCCTGGGAATGAATCATTGCCACCATGCTGGAGAGCCAGTTGTGACTGTCCTGACCAGTGCTGAAGTTGGGCAACCAGTATGACTTGGTATGTGGTGAATAGCTATATCTCTGTCTTGTACTGTCTGAACCTTGAAGCCTTTCAATTCAGTTTACTAACAAGTTCCTCTTCCTTACTCCGGACTCCTGAGGTGCCCATAGGAGAGGAGAGGATATATGGGCACATGGTGTAGTTGGTTATCACGTTCGCTTTGCATTGATATGAGACAGTTCAATGGTGCGAAAGGTGTTGGGTTCAATTCCCAATGTGTCCATGCAGAGATTTTTCTAGCTGTTTTTCTCCCTTGCTGACAACGGAAATCAGAGTCGGCCAGTAATTTTTTTTTTTTTTGCTAAATGGCCATTGCGTTGAATGGTCACTGTATACTATGTGATACCCATATAGTGGTGATATTCCTGATTTACGTGCTCAAGCCACTAAGGTACTAAGGTCCTGAAGCGATGAGAAGGAGAGCAAGTACCGAGCACATGGTGTAGTTGGTTATCACGCTCGCTTAGCATAGCATCGACAGTGTAATGAGCCTGCGAGAGGGTGTTGGGTTCAATTCCCAATGTGTCCATAACTAAATTTTAGTACGGTTTTTTCCATGTTAGAAGCCCGAGTCTCAAAATCCATCGCAGGAAAGGAAGAGGACAGTTTATTGTTGAAGAAATGAGTAGGCATGGAGAGGCTACAATGATAGCTAATATCAGGGATAAATTACACATTACAAAGGATATAAATAGAGAAGAGAGAAAGGGACGTGGAAAACGGGAATGAGAGAGCTTGAATTCGTTTCGATGAATCAGCAAGTGGCAGAGCGGCATCTAAGAATAGCAAGATGATGTTTGGTTTGAGCGAGAAGAGCAAATAGAGCTTCTCCTTGATGGTCCCTCAAAGTCGAATCGTACATGCAAATCGATTTGGTGACGGGAATGAAATGGATGCGTACGCCGTACTTGCTCTAGCCTACGAGCTGGTTCCTTTGACAACTGCTCATCTTCCTCGATACACCGGAGAGCCGATGTTAGACTGCCGTTCAAGTTATCAAACACGGTGAACCCGTTCACGCCTCCTCTGCATGCAATTCTCTCCGCCCTCTCTGCATCTGTCCAAACCTCTTATCGAGCTTGAAGCAGGAGATGACAATTTCAGTTTGATTATGACAGGTGCATCACGATTGGATGAGTTCGTCAGAGTGTGTATTGGTATTGGTGACTTGAGTTATCGTGTCCCTCCTAATTCCTCCTTCCTTCCTCCCCTCTTCCCTTCAGATACTAACCGTCCTACCTATTACTGACCGACGTCCTTGCAGCCGTCTCCCTCCCCTGATACCTTGCACCCGACAATTATCTCATCCGACACGAAGTGATCGCTCTCTCTCTATGGCGCCGAGGTACGTTGCGCTTTCTCTCCTTTTCGTTCACCTGGTTGACGATTGCGTCTCTTCGCAGCTCTTCAACACCCGCGCACTGGCTCTTTCCCATTCTCATCGGAATCCACCTCCCTCTCATCAACAAAGGAGCCTCATCCAAGTCCCCCCCTGCCTCCCCTCTCTCAGTGGGCTGCCAGATCCCGACCATGTCTTCCTTGGTATGCGTCAGACCAAGTCATCTACTTTCTCATACGCATCTGCGTGACCCGTGAAACGCGAGAAGATCTTTATTGAAATACAGGACATACAGCATCTGCGCTCAAGTGAACGATATGTGCGTGGTTTACGGTCTTGCCGGAGTCCTCAGGCGATGCAGGAGAGGGAAAAGACGAGAATGCATGTTTTCAGTTCCGCTCCGTCGATGCGGTACGCATTTTTACCCTTCTCCTTCCTATAATCCTAGTCACCCCCGCCTCGTCTTTCTATTACATGGGTGGAAAAGAACCTACCCGACACTGGACCCTTCCATCAAATCAATCCCCAGGCAAACCTCACTAAAATACACTCCTCCCTCTCCTCAATCCCCACTGTACCTCGAGTATGAAAAGCTTCTAAGTTATTATCGTAGTTGCGACTTAAGCCTACATCTATTTCTCAGTACCCAACGCAAGTGCCATCTCTCATTAAAAACCAGAGGAACCTATACGTCATACAAATAAATAATTATTGAGCAAGAGCTTCCTGTCGGGGCTGCCACCCGGTGCGTCTTTCTTTCCTCCTCTTTTCCCTCCCGTCTTTTAAATCTTCCAATATACCCAACAGACTCGGAATAGCCTAAGCCCAACCTAACCCTGCATAATTCAAATCCTCACCAACGCCGAAGAGAAGTACAACATATCCACCCCAATCGCCTAACAAGAGACGAGGAGTGATCTGTATGTAAGGGACAAGGAATGATCTGAATATGGTGTGGGCACCATCTGGATGGTGACGCTCCTGTCTCCTCTCATCTCTCAGCCCATTGAATTGGTCATTTGAAGGTATATTACATCGTTGCCTGATGCCACACTGGGGGTTCTACGTACTCAAAAAAGCACTCTATAGTCGCCTAGCTCTCCAACTGAATGTCCGCTTTGTCGGAAAAATCCAAATCACCATGTAGGGCCTTGTAACGCGTTGTCAAGTCCTGTCAGGTCGTCAGGTAAACAGTACCCTTATTGCCTTCGAAACCGCCTGATATCTTGTTCTAATTATTAAGACGCCTTATAGCCCCTTGTAAGTACTGAGAATCATTATAAGTCATTATGATGGGTATAGGGCCTTGTAAGGACTGCTAAGCGGTGATCATTTATTGGAGATTGTGAGCGACAATTTATGAAAAGTAAGGATCAACGCCGCTAGTGTCATTGACTCTATAGCACAGACAATTCATCATTTTATTTATTTATTAAATCTTGACAATGTTATTGACCTTAGACTTACCAATCTTACTGACTGACTTATTTTCTGACTTCATTGTGTATAATAATTTTACTTCAGGGGAATCGAACTTATGACCTAACCATGGATATCTTTATACTTAATGTAGATATCTTACCAACTCATCTACGTGAACTATTATCAAGGGCGGTAATCTATACTAATTATACGCATACTTTTTATTATAAGGCCTTATGCAACCTTACCCACCGCTGCTGTCGCATCCTTGTACATTGGAGTTGCGCATTGTGGATACGGAAGAAATAAATTTATTGAATACCACAGTATGCCCTTATCAGATATTACAATAGCATTTCAACGTCTTATAAGTGTTGATGGTGAAGCCTGATAAGCCCCCTTGTCAGATATTACATTAGCCTTTCGACACCTTATAAGTATCGTAGGTGAGGCCTTATAAGGCCTTGCAGGTGTATAAGGTCCCCAAAGGCCTGATAAGCCCCCTTATCAGATATTACGGTAACCTTTCAACGCCTCATAAGTGTCGCAGGTGAAGCTTATAAGGCCTGATAAGCCAAATGGTATTTTTCCGACATTACTAGTCGACATGGTTCGTTCCCTGCCCACCTCTTCCTTCCTTCCTTCATTCCCAATCCAGGCGAAACACGCCGATCTCCCCTTGTATGCTGACCTTTTGCTGAGCTCTTTCAAGCCTACAAACCGAAGCCCCAAGGCCTACTTATCGGCGCCTCTCAAGTCCCACAAGAACGAACTGCGATGGTCGCAGTATACTTGTACGATCTAGGCGCGTTGGGGATGCAGGAAAAAAAAGTCGGCTAACTATGCAGATCAATCATCAAATCTCAATCGATTCCTTTTTAGTTCCGTTTTGATTCCGTTGGGATACATATCGGCCTAGGACTGATTTGGAAAGACTTAATCACCAAGGCACATAGTGAGAGCAAGACCTCTATTCACTCAGAACGCCAAAGCTCCTAACTAATTAACTGTTAATGTATCTTACAAGTACCCTTCCACTGATATTACTCCATAAGAGAAGTCCTACAACGGACGAGATTTTTGAGAAAGATCCTCCTCACTCTTTCCAATGCCACGTTGAGTGTGGCTCTAAGGCTCTCCGTCAGGTGCTTATTATTGATAAGGAAAGGCACGTACAATTTCTAGATCGTTGTCTCGGAGGGCCTCTTTTGTGGTATCAATCCTGATGGAGATGTTTTGTTGATTCTTGCTCATTGTTGTAGCGTTGGGACTGACGCCGCTGATACCACTCGTTGGCAACGATACCATGTTAACGTTATCAACATCAGTCGCAGTGAGGCTCCGACGAGCGTTCAATGTGGCCAGGAATGAGTTACTGTAAACTAGATGGTCGAAATGCGTCAGTGAGATACATTATTCAGCGGAATCCAAGAGATACTCACGTCTGCCGATGCAGAAATAGAAGGTCGCATAAATGAGTGTGTCTGGTGAAGCGACCAGCTGTAGCGAGATTAAAAGTTAGGATCCTCAGTGCCATCAAAGTAGGGCAGGATGCTTACTGAAATTAATGAAGCGATGGCGCAGGCACTAATGGCAGGGGTTAAGCAAGAGAAAAAAAGAGCTAGACCACAGACGGTACGCACGTTGTCAACCTGAAAAAATGTAACATGAGTCAAAGTTGGAAAGACTAAGTCTAGTACATACATTCCGGTGTTAACGACAAACACGATCTGTCAATACCCGCGTTAGTCTACCACCCTCGCAATTGCTATAAGGAAGGGCTTACAAGTCTGTTAATAATAGTATCGGATCTGACGAGTGTCGTTAGAACACATAATAAAAATACAACAAACAAAATCACCTCTTGAAGCCAGTGCGTGCTTTGTGAAGCATGAAGCAGAGACTGCTGGCAATGAGCACGTCGACCGTTGTTGAAAGTGCATTGATAGTGATGGTAAGCGGCTAAAGTACATGAGCCTAACGTCTTTTATGAAATCCAATGACTTACCGATATGCGGAGAAGTTCTTCGTACGTATGAAGCTGCATTCTAATAAAAGATAAATTAGAAATGAGAAATGAGGGGCAACATCATAAACGTACGACATAATGACCCAGGCTAAACAGCGCCATTGAAGATGAGTTATGTACTAATATAGGATGGCAGCATTATTTCTTACCAGTTCCACAACCTGAACAGGGAATGTAAGAGGTTGATTATGGCTGCATAGTTAACCACATACCAACGCAAGAAAGAATCAACAGCAGGATAGTGCCGGTGAGAGGGATACTTTTGTGGCTCACTGCAGATGACCATTAATATAAAGAATACCGGCAAAGAGTCAGAAGACTAACATCGCCATACACGCAAAGTGAAGAAACTTGGGATCGAAAATGAGCACAAGCGTCATGTTTAGTTCAGCTAATGGATATACGTACGTTTGCACGATAGCGCCATTGACTCCCTGGATTTCTATCAGACGACCTCTTACATGATAACCAAACATAATAGACGTACTGTGAATAACGCCTCAAGCTTCGATGAGATAAAATGTTAGTTCCCTATCTCTCGCTCAATAAAATAATACACACCAGCACAGACCTATAAAAGAAATGTTCATAGGATATTCATGTTTATAATAATGACGAACGACGTACCAGACCAGGACCGTTAGCCCATTAGCGTTGCTAGAGTAAAAATCAGCTTTTGCAAGTGTGTGAAATAATTATTGTTACGCACTGATAGCCCGTAACCAAATAATGATAGACT